TTGACGTACGGTATCATTTTGTGAGGAAAATTTTGGAAGATAATACGATATTACTTCAAAAGATTCCGACTAAGGAGAATCCTACTGATATGCTTACGAAAATTGTGACAACTATCAAATTCCAACATTGTTTGAATTTGATAAATGTTGTGCACAATTTGAAGATTGGTGCTTGACAACGCATTTGAAGACACCACTGAATTTTGAGGGAGAAGATTTGTATTTTTGGTGGGATTAGAAATTATGTCAAGGTGGAGATTTGTTAAATTCAAAGCCAAGCCTCAATTATTGATTTTGAAATAACCAAAATTGTTGAATTATTTGGCACAATTACAATCCCACATCGGTAGGTTTATGAATTGAAGAAAGTTTTGAGAGCTATAAATAAGATCTCTACCTTCTCAATTAAGACACACCAAGCAAGAGCATCATAATTTGCTTCCTTCTCTCTCTTTGTAATATTTCTTCTAGTGAAATATTAAGTTGTCGGTAATGTCCGAGGACGTAGGCAAATTAGCCGAACCTTGTTAAATTCTAGTGTTCTATTTTATTGTCTATTTAGTAGCTATATTTGTTGGTATATTTATAGTGAGTTATTGTGCAATTAATTCCATATATAGATGATTCTGTCTAGGAAATTGGTACTTAAGAAGGCTAGTGTGCCTCGCCAAATATTTCCTAGGAATTACCATTTTGCAATTTTAGGTACAATAATTTATTCATTATACCTTAATTTGGTAGAGCTTCCGCAACAATAGACACATTGGTCTTCTTGTGTTGGAGGTAAAGTAAAAATTGATTGAAAGCTCATATAAAGAACACTTTCAACTATTTAAGACATATCGAAAATCTAACTTTAAGATTCTTTTTTGTTCGACCCTGGAATAAATTTCTGGAATTGTTAATACATCAATTAAGAATGAACAGCCAAAGGAACAAAGGAGACCAAATTAGACAAAGTGTTTCAGGACTCTGTTCATTTCTGAGATGTGCATACGTATGTACAATTCTGTACAAAGGTTAATGCAAACAAAATTGTGGCCTAACTAAACTAGTGGTTGAGAATGTTGAGAAGTGAAACTCTGGTTTTCAGCAAAAGCCTGAAAACAATTTCTAGTATCTCTGCTAATTCTGCAATGCTAGAGTCTACTGCCTCAAGTTTTTGAAGTACATCCTTTTTTGACTTATTGTTGTTCAAGAGATGCAACTTGATTTCTATTTGCTCGATTGCTGCGATGTCAGAATCTCCTTTGCGTGATGCTCTCTTCTGCTGTAGTAAATTTGAGACCAAGGACCAACCTTTTGGTTGTGACCCTGCCTTTGGTCCAGAAAGGAAACATAGAACAGACTCCAACACTGGAAGACTAATTGCTTGAACTTCTTTTACCAGGTTGACCAAAGGAGCATTTTCAGAATCTCTGTTTACCACTTCCACGTTGCAGTCCTTCCCTGATTTCTTGAATTCTTTGTAGCATTTTCTTATCATTTTATTCAAGTTCTTTTTGCAGATCATATATGAACTGACTTCATTGGCCAAAACTTCACTTCGTTTCGTCCTTAGAGATGACTCGAGTTCCTGCAAAATTTCCTTCATCTGTGAATAGATGTCTCTGACTGCCCCACAGATCTCCAACAGCCTGAGAGATCCATCCAAGACCTCTTCTTCCCATTTTCCAAGTCTTTCACTGGAGAGAGCTTGTTGACTCAAAGGAAGCCTAAGCACATCGTCTAGACACTCGTACAAGTTCTTGAGGCCGTCCAATTTTTGGCATGCCAATGAATGTGAAGTTGAGGATGCGGCTTCTGATGACTTCAATCTTTCAAGATGTTCCTCAGCAGTCACGATAAGAGGGTGAGATATAGAAGGCAAACTAATGGAACGAGAATGAATAGATAATTTTGGATTCGGCACAGAGGTTGCCATCTTCTTCTCTTTAGCAGAATGTAACAAATGAATGTTAATTGTTTAGCCTTAGAAGCCTGTGGAGATGTTGAAAACAAAATATCTCTCCACTGGCATATATAGGTGGTAAAGAAAAGTGAAGGAATCTCATCTTCTCTTTGTCTAGTTGTAATAATTGATTAAATTTTCTGCTTGTCATTATTTCTGTCTCGTTGATGTTGGATCTCAGAAGATGCATCCAGTATTGAGATCCCAATTCTCAACATATTATTTATGTGACAACCATTTGGATCACCAGCTCTTATTCAAAGCCGATCGTGCTGGATGTTTAAGATTATAAATAATGCATCACAGGCAGCCTAATCAACGAAGACAACAGGAAATGTTTGTGCTATCTTACTCACTGGGGGACAATAGGAATCGTTGCCTGCTCACAAATACTTTCAATTAGCCATGCATGTGTGTTCTAGGCACTGAACAAATCATGTTGCTTAGCCATTGATTCATGTGATTATTATTGCTATAATGATAAGTCCAGCATTGTGCAATCATGGCCACTGTTTGTTGCAAGAAAATAGGAATTACACAGCCTGTTCCATCCTCAGTAGACAACCATGTGCTGACTGTATTGATTCTTGAATTACATATATATATTTTCCTGGTAGCACGAGAGGATGGTTGACCTTAAGAACTCATTGATGCATCTCAAGGTTCAAAACCTATGGTCTAAATTAAACCACTCTGTCTATCAAGATTCTCTTTGCTTTTTGGATGGTCTAGGCACTAGCGTCATATGATCTGTGGCATTGGTGCTTGTCAGCTTCAAGAAATGTGATAAAAAGCTGGACCAATTATTGTCTCAATGTAAGGAGGCAGAGCTGTGTGTTGACCATTTTTATTTCTGGTAGGAGACATGGTGAGTTGGACAATATTCTATCTATATTGGCTACTACTTATAATCTTTGTATTTGTATATATAGCTGGCTTAAAGAGATAAGTTGAATAACTGCATTATCATAGTTGTGCATACATTCTTCAGGGTTCGTTCCTCATCAAAATTGGTTGATTGTCTAGCGACTATCAAGGCAACTGGCCATGCACAATCAAACAGTCTGATATCTAGTTCTCATACAGTGACTGATAGCATCAGCCAGCAATCATCTCAGGTGTGCCACGGGAACCTTCCCCTCGGCCCTCAGAAGCAAAGGATCTGTTGAGTTCATCCAACTATGTATTTTGTTGTGAAAGCAATGTGATATGAATATGACAAGGGACTAAGAAAGAAAGTAAGGTTGAAGTTGAACTCGTGTGCTGGCAGCAGTATAACAGAATAACAAGGAATAATAATTCATGAAAGGAAGAAGAACGACTTGCCAACTAACCTAGCTCAAATAGACTGCCTGATTAGGACTAAACACCAACCGAGCAACTCATGAGCTGTTTCATCACCAGCTCTAATGTATAGCATTCTCAGCAGCTTGAGCTCACTTGACAACCATCGTCTTGTGTTGCTCCAAAAATGTGAGGAGTCGAGCTCAAGCTTGATGTTAGTTACTCAATCAAGCTCGAGCTCTTCAAGTTTGGAAAATTTAGATAGAGCTGAGCTCAATTAGGGAAATATCCGATTCAAGATGATTGCAGCCCTGAGCATGACACTTGGGTAATATATAATAGAAGGCAAATGTGAGTATTGGAGTCAAAGTTGACAAAAGCCAACCATGTGAGTATTAGACAAACATATCCAATTCCAAGCTTGAAAAATTGTGTGACCTCTTGCTCTTTTAGTGTATTACGTCACCAACACAGAATGCTGAATCTTACTAATTGGAAAATTTAAGCGTCTGTTATTTGAAGAAAATTTGCTTCACTATTTGTATCAGTTGCTCAAATAATTAGACAGCTCATCCATGAAACTAATTGGAAGATACGAGCATCTTAATTGGACTAGGTAGATTCTGCACTTTGTTTCATTCCATGTGAAATTAGCAGAACTACTAATTTCAAGTCATAGAAATGATGCAGGTCCACTAGATTACATGAAAGGGTCCTCATAGCAAGGAACTTAAATCATGTGTAAATCAAACCCTGTCCGTGACTTCAGATCTTACATGAGACTTACTGAGGGATGGTTGGTGCTGGAAACTGAAAATTCACTAACTGAGTTATGTTACCTTGCTTGCATTTAGCTAGCATACCACATCTACAAATTTATGCTTTCAAGCTGGATGTGAGAACAGCTAAAACTACCACAGGAATAACAAATTTGGTTCGGACCTGTTCTCAAAAAGTTGAAGGATTTTGAAATTTTTGTCGACACGGAACTTGAGGATTACTGAGCCAAATTTGGGACCTCACTTAGAAACTTCACATCACTTGGGGGACACATATTTGACATTGCATCTTGGCTTATGAATAAGTATCTTGGTGAACATCTGTACATAGTTTAATTTACATTTTAAGATGCAACATGACCTCTTTCACGCTATGCTTACCTTTGCTTTTGCTTCTTATGACTCTGAAATTATATTATCAACAAGAACCACATTTCTGAAGAAAAATATCCTATGAACCATTCAGACTGAACTACTTATCTCGGGTTCTATGATGCCAACATACTGCATTGCCCTTTCCACTGACAGAAATATCTGCCTCAGACGGTGGAAAATGTACCAAACATTTACATTTTCAATTTCTGTTGTAGCAAAAATTTCCCATGTATGTCAGTTCCTCTGCCTGGGGGTGATTATGAAAAGAATTTGAGTAAATCAAACAATAAAGAAAGTCATATAAGACAGCTTTGCAAAACTCATTGAAGTAAAAACAACTAAATAGATGCATGTTTATTTTCAAATTTCAAGTGCATTTATTTTCAAATTCCAAAAGTAGGAAAGACTGAACTCAAATTCCAATTCTTACTAGGCAATATTAAACTTTTACTTAGGGGCATGTACTTACAAGCAGAAGTATATGACATGATTAAGTGAACTTACAAAATTTTGCTATTGGGGAAAAAAACAAAAGATTTAGGATTTAGAGTTTTGGTACATAGAGAGTGGTAAATATTGGTTTCTGAAAAAAAAATGTGTACACAGGTTGTCTATCGGCCCTCAACAGTAGTTAAGCTTATGTTGTTAATAGAATAAACCCTTTCTCGAGAAGACTTTCCTGAGGAACCTAATCTTCCTGTATAGGCTGGGAATTTGGGACGAGGGAGATTTGAAATTTCACTGCTAAGCATTGAAAGAACAGCAGAGACATCTGGCCTATCTTTTGCAAATTCCTGCACACATAATAATCCTACATGAATGAATGTCAACATCTCTGTTTTGAAACCTGGATCAATTATTGCTGCATCTATCAGTTTTGCTGCTTCACTTTCATTCCATAATTTCCAAGCCTGTGATATCGCAATCAAGAATGGAATTTAATAACAAAAAATAAGATAAGGAACTTGGCTTGAGTCATGATACTGTATCAGTTGAAGAAATCAATGTAACTTACATGTCCAAGCAGGCTCAGCTCATTCTCATAATTATAGAAGCTAGTATTTCTTCTTCCACTAACAATCTCTAACAATAGTACTCCAAAACTATAGACATCAGACTTTTCGGAAAATCTTCCTTGCATTGCATACTCTGGAGCCATATAGCCACTGTCATCACATCATTTATCCGAAAAGAGTTCAACTTATGAGGAAAAGAAACCAATTTGAATTAGTTATGATGTATAAATGACAAAAAGAAACCAAATATAGGCTTACTATGTTCCCACAACCCTGTTAGTATTAGCTTGATCTTGATGGCCTCCGAAAATTCTAGCTAAACCAAAATCTGATAGTTTTGGCTTGAGATCTTCGTCTAAAAGGATGTTGCTTGCTTTCAGATCTCTATGAATAATTTTCAGTCTTGAATCTCTATGAAGGTAAAGGAGGGCTCTGCCAATCCCCTCAACAATGATCACACGTCTTCTCCAATCAAGTAGTTTTTGTTTATTAGCATCTGAAACATTAATAATGTGAATTAATACGCCCCAGTTTTTGTGTTACTTTTCTGCAGGGACTTACAATATGCTCTATTTTTCTGTTTTACTAGTTCTCTGGAGTCTGGACATCACAAATACCCTTTTATTTTCGGTTTAGATGGAATGAAAGAAAGATAAGAAATGTAAAGAGATCTTGAATTTCTAACCAAATAGATAGGCGTCAAGACTTTTGTTTGGCATATATTCATAGACTAGCATTTTTTCTTCTCTTTCAATGCAGCAGCCCAGAAGTTTAACAAGATTCCGGTGTTGGAGTTTCGAAATAACCACGACTTCATTCATAAACTCCTCAATCCCTTGAGTTGAAGAATTTGAAAGCCTCTTTACTGCAATTTCCCGGCCATCTAACAGCTTTCCCTGCTAATAGATCATCATCAAATGCTACCCAAGCAAACACTGAGCAACTTAAAATACCATGCGAAGCCAAACTTAGTTTACCTTATAAACTGGACCAAAACCACCTTCCCCTATCTTATTGTTTGATTGGAAATTGTCTGTTGCATTAGCCAATGCTTCGTAAGTATACACAGGTAGCTCTTCAAACTTGGCTTGGTTGAAGTTTATGGTGAACTTATCTTCCACTGATGGCACCATAGCTTGTTGCTTTTTCCCTATTTATTAACGAGTAGGTAAATGTATGATGACTAATCTGAAAAAATTTGGCAGCATTTAAATCAAACTACCTTTCTGCTTGGCAATCAACTTCCAACAAAGGAATGCACAGAATACAAGGACTGAAGTTGCTACAGTCACTGTGCTTGCAATGACAACATTTATACCCCTTTTAGCATCTGTATCTGTATGTCAAAGGTTTCAACGGCATGTTAAGAAGAGTTTGATCTACTAAGAATATAGGCATAAGCCTTTCTTGTGATCATTGTGTTTTCTATCTTGTAGAGACAAATATTATTCTAATACTTTAAAGTAAAACAGAAAATTTGAAATTTCTCAGTTTCAAGCACATAATTGAGAAACATAGCTGCGACCAGATCTTATTATACATGATTTGAACCAAAAAGACAATAAAGAGTAAAGTAATAAAGACACTACAAGAAAAAAAAATACAGGAAAATGTCTTACCAAGTTCAGAATATGCCACACGTATATATAAGTTTGCCCCATCATAGGGAAGCTGCTGCGAATCAATTAAGATGCCACTCCATTGCATACATCCAATGCCATTATAAAATGCATAAGCTGTGCATAAGCAATTGTTTAAGCAGTCTTTACGGCACTCTTCTTCAGAATTTGCTATTGGCTTAGCAAAATCTGGAACTTTCATGTTTGCAAGTTTCACAAATCCATCTTGGTCGTCCGCTGTACTGGAAGATTGATTTCTCTGACATTGCAGCAATTCTTTTCTTATGCAACCACCTGTCCAATTTCCTTGATTCCATTCATCCTGATCTCTTGGCTTAAAACCTGGCAGACATGTACATCTTGGGGAATCCTGAGGATTACAGCTCCCAAAAGATCCACATTTTCCATAAACATCACATTGGTTCTCTGAACTTGACCAGATTATGGTCCAATCTCCTTTTCCACTTAATGAAACCATTGCCTGTATACTCCCTGATGAACTCAACCTATAGTAAAAAAAAGGAGTATTTGCATAGTTATAAGTGAGATATGGATATCCAGAACTGTCTTTCAAGACATCAAGTCGATTATCATATGCAGAAGTCATGCCGGCTATCCCAATAAAGGTGGTACCACTCCATGGACCACTCCGCCAGCAAGGGCTACTATTATTCCAAACAAAAAATTGAGGAATTTGGAAAAGGTTGAGACCTGCAGAGAAAGTTCCGATAGATGGATCAGAGGGGCTTATCCATGAAGTTATTTGGCTCGTCCCTATTGTACTAGCCCCTAATTTCATCTTTGGCAAAAAAGTGTCTGTAGGATGCTCAAAACTTTCCCAGATTTTCCTCTTTGACTCATCTGTCAAGACCAGGTTCCCAGTATCCAGGAGTTGTGCACTAGAATTCGCCAAAGAACTTGAAACATTAGTAGACCATAGTATCTCCTTCATTCCATTTAATACAGCAAGATTACCATCTTCGAGGATTACAACAGTTCCCGAAGAATCATTTAAAGGTCTTTCCCTATTAGCCACCCATATAATGGCTGTTTCAGGTAGAGTATACATTATTCCAACATAGCGATCACTACTTTTTTCAGGACTAAAGAAGCCTAATTTGAAGATTTGGCCAGACGAAACTATAGTATCGGAGTCTTGGATAGGCTGGGAGATTGTGATGGTATCTATTGCAATACAAACTCCAAAGCAGCAACAAAGTAGAATAACACAGGATTTCCTCATTGATGCTGCAGGCATGCATGCTTTTAATTGGCCTATGACTATAATGCTACGGACAATATACAATTGCTTTCTTTGTTTCGTTTCCAACTATTTTTTTATTCATCCATCTTAGAGAGAATTGGTGGAAATTTTTTCTTGATGCACCAGATAAACGATCCTTGGCAGCCACTTTAGACCGAGTCAGAATGTGATTAAAGAAGTCACGGGAAATTACTAATTTTATATGAAAACTTTATTGTGTAAGTGGTGTTCTGCCAATTTGAGGCTAGATACATCTAGCTTTGCACCACAAGCATAAGTGAAACATTGCAGCAAGTGATTCCATCTTCCTGCTCTCGATTTCTCTTCTGAAGAGAAGTTGAGCTCAATTGCACTGCTGTTTTAAGGAAAATTTCAAGAACTAATGTTATGCTATTTGATTTACTTAAATTTTGCAGCATTTTAAACTAGGCTAAGAATTAATTATTAACAGAAATGGCGATCTAATTTCAAGAATGTAACGAACTTGCACCATTCAGAGTTAGAAAGATCATTCTTGCAATCAAGTCAATTATAAGCAATACTTTAACAACTTTTAGACCATATCGGATTTCAATGAAATTTCCTCCGTAGAAAAAAATACAGGTCAACTAAAACAATGAGGAAAATCTCGAAGATCGTATGAGTATTTTTTTCCACAAGTTAAGGTAGGATAATATATGTGCCAAGCAGTTGCTAGGACAATGTCATTTGGCACATATATTATCCTACCTTAACTTAATAATCTGCCAAGAAAAAGGTTCAACTTAGGCAAGGACAACATATGTGCTGACCAGCTGCTAAATCAACTTAATTTACTATGATGTAAACCAATTCATAAACACTCAACACAAAGGAAGTAGTTAACGAATAATTAATAATCAAATCATTATGGTGCTTCAAATGCAAGCATGTACTCCATCAAAAGTCACACCTTCTTGTTAGAATGACGTTCTCATTTTGAGGTCTAAGCAAGATATTCTCAAGATAAGGTGTAAATATATTGTATTTGTATGCAAGAAGAAACACGTGTAAAATTAAAAATAATGTCCGATAACATCATGAAAGCTACTTAAGTAATATGTATAACTTGCACATCCAACCATGAGTATGTTTTAGGCTTCTTTAGTCTCCTGATAAACTCAATCTACAGCTTAACAAATTAAAGGATTATCTGTGAAGTTAAATGGACTGGGTGCTGGTGCTGCTGTATTTTGTGTAATCCGATCCGATTATTGTACATATATTTAAATTTTTTATGTACAACTATATTATAACGTTGTACTGAATATATATAAAGTATTTTACTCATGTACACTGCTTTTATTATGAGTATAATAATATAGTGTAATTGTACACTAAATAATATATATATATATATATACACACACCCAAGATTCATTCATAACCAAGCTTAGACATTCGTAAAATTTTCCTGTCTACTATTTAAAACCAAAATATATAAGTGAAAATTAAAACATGTAAATTCCATGTGCTTATCTTACATAATACATATTTTATTTAATATCATAGTAAGTAACTAAACATATAACTATTTAAATTTAGTAAGGCACTTTGAAAGAAATTTCTACGTCAAATGAGAGTATTATATGGTAGATTGCTTGCAAATGATCATTGTGAATCTTCACTTTAGTTCACTGTTTCTGTACTTTAAAAAAGGATATGAGCAGATTCAAAATCGACTAACCATTAAATGATTTGCCCAATTGGAAAAGCTGGTAAATTACACACTATACACACGCACATGCATTTTCCTAGTATATGTATATGTGTGTATGTGTCTTGGTACTTTGGAATGCGAATGTAAACACTATTATGATCTTACTTTTTTTCATTCCAATTATACTCTTCTTAATTTGTGGTTCAAGTTTCATAAAATCATAATTGTAGGTGGATTAGAAGAAAATAATGGTTGACTATTAAGGTCACTATATTGCATCATACCATGTTGGTTTAGAAAGAAATAATTTAAGAAATATAGTGATTTGAGAAACAGTTCTTGGATGAATTATATAAGTTGTACACATCCAATTCAGAAAGTGAAGAACTTTTCATGTTGCACCCAATGGAATTTCAATATACAAAAAGTTATATCAGCATTATAACTGAAATATTGGTATAAAATTGGAAAAAAGAAAATCTGAAATAGCACCATATAAACCATTCACTACAACAAAAATGACCTTTAGCGGCATTTAAAAGTGTCAGTATAGACAATTTAACCTGACATTTTATCTATCCTCACACCTAGGGCGAGTGTTGTCCCTTCCAATGTGGGGATAGCCTCAAATCTTTAGCAACATTCAAACGTGTCAGGAAAACCATGCTGCTATAGCATTCCCTCTGCCAACAAAAACTTTTTTTTGTGATAATCGAAAGTGTCCGTATAGCATTAGAACATCAGTAGCGGATCAGTAGTATATCCAATTTATGAAGGCATCTTTAGTTGTCTTAATATATGACTTTAAGGACACGTAGCCATGTGAATTTACACTGCTTTGGACGACATGCCCATTTGTCATTAGTGTTTTTCGAAGTTAAGCTATGCTGACACTTTTAATTGCCAGGAGTTTTTTCCCTGTTTTTTTTATATGGAAGCAACCTGCAATTAGTCCTCCCTGCTGTACATTCCATCAACCAGAATCCCAAGGGACTTGTAAAATTATCTCAAAGAGCAGAATGCATATAGCAATTTAAAAGAAGAAGTCAATACTCAAATATAATTCATTGAATTAAAAGTCGATAACAAGTACAAACATAGCAAGTACTAAAATCGCAAACAAGTGCTCAAAGCAAGTACTAAAATCCCAATAAAGTACCGAAAGATTCTCATTTACAATAACTTGAAAGAATTTCTTGTGCACAAACAAAAAGACTCTCATCCCTAACAAGTTGAAAGAAATGCTAAAAGTCAGGTAACGTAATTGTACAATATTAGCAACGATCCGCGAGAGGTATAGTATATATATAGTACATTGTTTGGGCTCATCAAGATGAAACAAACAACTACCACTGCCCATGTTGATGTATGCTCAAGAGTTGTCTCCTCATTTCCACTTCCTTCAGCCATCTCTAGGTGGAGCAGTCCGGCTATGCTTTAGTAGAGGTTAGTGCCAATCCTTCAGAAGAAGAGAAAACAGCCGAGAAATTGAAGGGATGAAGAAAAGTGTATACAGTGATCTGGGAAAACAGAAATTTTTTTTCCAATTTTGAGCATTTGAGATTGGAAAATGATAGGAAAAAAATTGCAACAATAATAATATAATAACACCCCAGGAAATAGTTTGCGTTCAAGCAATTCAACCTACTGGAAATCATGTCATGCTAGAAATATAGCCTTTGGTCTATCAAATGCGATGGAAAAAATTATAGATATTGAACATAACTATGTACTGCAATTTCCTACTTGACAAGGTGTGTGGGACATGTGTCCAAGTCTCTGCCTCAGCTGGTCCTCACTTAAGTCAGTGCTAAACAAGTCATCATTATTTTTGAAGCCAAATCAATCATTGAAGCAGTTTTGGGGAGCGTAGCATTGTACTCCCAATCACTAACTGGTGCCTGAACAACCAACATTGTCAACAAGCTGAAACTAAAGCTCGTCGTCCAGGCAACATTACATACAGTAGTGATCACAGTACCAACACTGTCAAGTAATGCACTGAACAAAAGACAGTATGACTAAGCAAATTAATCATTCTCCTTTAAACATCAGATAATATATATTATGTTTGACTAACTACAAGGGGCATTTGTCACGACAAAAGGGACGAGTGTGGATGCAGACACAAAAGTGCACAGATTCAAGAGCTCAGAGGCATGAGAGATTCTTAAATTTCTCTCTTTTATAAAAATAATGGTAGAAGCACCAGTATGATCAGCCAGAACAGTGTTCGATACCAAGCATCCCTTAAGCTAAAGAATCATATGCTAGCAAAATTTAATCTTATTTCACACAAACATAACCATAGATGTTGTCCAAGTTCAAAGTTTTAAACTCGTATATCAGATCAAAGCACTTCTTCGAAATCAGATTAAGGGATCATGCAAAATCAGGTCAGAACCTCACCAAAGGCAACCACGACAAGGAGACAAATTAAAGTTTCGATAATTCGAACAAGAGAAGGTTGAGACATATAAAAAGTGGACGAGTTCAAATAACTCACCCTGGCCATGTTAAAAGATGGAAATCTTGAAAATGCTTTGGATAGAACATCATCATTCACCTCATTACCAAGATCACCACAGAACAAACGAGAATCATCTGCACAACACAAACAGTAATACTGAAGGCATTAATACTAGCAAAAACAAGATCAGTGAAGGAATTAAGACAGGCTAAAATTGTCATAAAAAATGATGAATGCAACCACACAAGGAGTAGAGTACATGAAACTCACTCTCTGGCCAATCTGCAAGTGTAGGATCCTCCCATGCCTGCCCTGCTGCCTTACGAGGTACTGCTTTCTTCTTAGTCTCGGCCTTGTGCTCAATCTCACTACTTGCAAGCGCAGCTTTCACACTCTCTAGCGCTTCAGGTGTTATTGTTTGTGCATCCCTCTGAAATAATTGTTGGGCCTGTCCACCAAAACTTCAGATATTAAGAACTGACTGGTTTAACTTTAAATATTGCCATCATTCCTCTTCCTCAAACTATACTTATACCTAAATTAAGATGCAAATATAACCCCCCCCCCCAAAAAAAAGAACTCTTGCCCACACATACAAAACCCCTGGGTCACCAAACTTCCACAATAATATCAGGTACCACGCGACAAGTTTCCCCAATATTTTATTTGGCCCACCTTTGCACCCTAAAATTTGTGAAATCCCCTTCACCTTCTACATTGCCCCCCCTCCCTCTTTTCTAAAAACTAAAATCTCCACCACTATCATATCAACTTAAGTAAATAATCACACCTCAACAATAAAGAAGGTCAATAATTTTAGAAGAAAAACATTAACCTAAAGTTCTT